AGTATCTAAAGAAGTATTTTGTTATGTTCATGCACTCTCGCCAAGTCGAAAAATGTTGACCAGATTAATGAGTTGTAAATTTGTCAGAGTACGTTCGAAATCAAAGTTTGTGAAGAAAAATCTACATACTTTTACAAAAAGATACTTTACTTTCCATGTAGGGTACTTTCTAAGTTACTTACTTTGGGTTTTCAGTAGTGGACTGATCTTTTATGTATCTTTGTGGCTATCTTGAGGGGGACGGTAACTAAGGGACATTATAGCCTAAATATTATAAACGAGAAATGTAAGCAGTATAAAAGCATAGAGCTCTAAAAAAAAATTTGGTTCAGTGTGAAATTCAATTATAAATAACTACTTGGTCAAAATTAAAGTAAAGCATCTTTTAGTAAAAGTATGTAGATTTTTCTTCACAAACTTTGATTTCAAACGTACTCTGACAAATCTACTACACATTAATCTATCTGTTACCAACATTAAACCGAAATATTTCCCTCGAATGTATGAAATTATTGTGAAATCCAATACAAAAACAATTAACAATTAACAACACGAACTTTCAAGATAATCCTTAAAGATATGATTAATGTAATGTATGCCAAACAGCTAATCGTCAAAACAAGATCCATCAAATTTGAAACAGAACAATTATGACAATCTTTGTTACATTTGTAATTCATGATTCAATTAAAACGGACTGGTTGAGCAATTAGTACTCCTTAATCTGATATTAAAGCGGATTTATTAATTTATGAGGTAATCTATCACAGTAGCGCTCCTGGCGGCGGAGGAGCGAAGTAGCGTGATTCTGTCTCATTAGGCCGAAATCCCACATCACTCACACAATCTGACGGCAGCAAGTGTTTTATCTGTTGTGTGCGTGTCTACAGGGACGCAATGGTGTCAAGGGGAAACTGAATTTCCCTGGATGTCTAAATTAAAACATCATTGAATTATATTTTGAAAGTAATCAGGTAGCATTGGTTTCGTAGGATTCTGTGTTAATAAATGTGTCGAAAATGTAATTTTTTTATTTTTTCAATGCGCAACCTTACAAGTAAAATATAGACGAAATTTTAAGCGAAGGTAAAATTTGGGAGGAAAATGTTGGTAAAACAACTATATATTGATTTTAATATTGTATAAAAACGAAAATATTCATCCTTTGGATCATCTGAGAATTTAAGGGTATGTTTCATCAGAATTAACAGATAATTTGTTTGATATTAATCTCTTAAAATAAAAAAAATTACCCACATTATATAAACTAGATCTCTTTTTGTTAACGATTTCTCTCTCTCTCTCTCTCTCTCTCTCACGCATTCCAACCAACGAGTAAACACGTTACACACATAATTATACACTAAAATAAGAAAAACATTTATTTGATATGGGTGAACTTAAAGGTATTTGGATATGAGAAATACACCAACACAAAATTTAGGTAATACAATAAATTGGGGAATGGGGAACTACTTGTACTTGTATTAGGGATTTTCCTATACTAGAGAAAAAGGTTTCATTTATTCCAACGAGTTCACATGATCGGACTTTAGAATGAGCTTTTATAGGGGTGTTTTGGGAGTAAAAATGGGGGGTTTTAATTTTGTATTCTCAACACATCATATGTTCCAATTTCTTTGTAAACCATTTTCTAGAGCTTAAATAATTTAGTATATTTGATTGTTGTTTCATGTTTTATACGGAGAAAATGTGATAAAACTGCAAATTTTAGATTTCATCCTATTCTTATGGAGTATAGGCTAAGTAAACTGTTTCAGTTTGATTGCTTATGACTTTTTTTAACAACATTTCATAAACTAATTTATTTCATCCTTGGTTACTATAGTTCACTATAAGAAATCTGATTACTTTCCCGGTAGCATGAAACCAAAGTACTTGGTCATCTTAATGTTATTTAAATAGGGATGTTACATTTTAAAGCAATTATTCAAGCCAAAATTCGATCGTCAGGCGAATGGTGATCTGCGGGTTTGCTGTGGTATGGGGGGATTTGTCATATGCCTTTTGGTGGAGTTAGTTCTCTAATGGAGAGAAGATTCTTCTCACTTGAGACAAGTATTAGTTTTGTTTTCTAAATATGTAAAAATGCGTCTTGAATTTTCTATATAGCTGAACATTGGTGATTGGTGGGATTCAAAACCGGAACTGCTAGACAGAGGTCTCTTGCTTCAAACTTAAAACAGTTTCACACTGTTAATTATGATGTTCAAAGCCAACGCTACACCATCTTATTCCCACTAATTCAAAAATGTTCCAACAGTCCCAACAGAACTCCTCACCGTTGGTCACCGCCAGTGGTCAGCGGCGGCGCAACTGTCAAAAGAACAGCGACAGAGACAAGTACTTACTAATTACCAAAATAAATGGCGGTTAATGTATGGTAATGTATGGGAAAGGAAGCGGATCGGCGCTGCTATCTATGCTAATGCAGAGGAAGGAAGTGGTACATATTTCTTGCAACAACTGGTGCGCTCTGTCCTCACGTGGTCCAATTATTGTCTACTAATCCAATTATTGTCCACTGGATCGTCACAGGTTGGACACAGAGTAATTAAAAACCCCGGATTGGCGGGAATTGTGTTTAACAGAGCATTGTGTAATTTGTGGACACTTTGAGTAATTGAGGTTCCATTTTGTGTCTTGGAATTACTGCACACAAGTGTGTACTGTGATTAATTAATCTATATATTGAAAACTGGAATTGGATTGTCACAGGTAGGACAATGAATACACAGTAATACAAAAATCAATTACAAACTCCTGGTCAGGCAGTACGATTTCTAAAGGGTTGTTTTATAAACCACAGTCAATGAATAAGGTGTTTTATTTTATGCCTAAAACTACTATGTATAAGACATCTGGTCTACCAACATGGCATCAGGTGCATGCATGGTAATTAAAAACTCTCAGTTTATCGGGAAATATGGGTGAAGGAGTGAATTGTATCAAACATAGGTGTTACGGCATTAACTATAAACACAGTTGATGAATATAGTTTTTATTTTGCACCTGGAATCTCTGTGTAAGTTAGTGATGTAGGCAACGCTCCATGGATTATAAGTTTGAGAAGACCGCGGAATTTTTTTTAACATTTCTCTAAGCTCAAGCAGATTGTTCTATGAAAATTGTTTATGTTATATTCTAGAAGTAAATCATCTTTCACCTCATATTTTTAGCTACGCCAAGGGTGGTCAAGTAATACACATGTAAGACACAAGTAATTCTTTGTCTCATTTAATATTCATAGTTTGTAATGTAACTCTACAGTATCTAAATAATCATCGTATCTGTTTGTGATTAACTAAACATGCGTCTTCCAAATCTCACATATTCAAAGAAATATTTTGTTAATGCCAGTAAAGAGTATGCAGCTTTATTCAATTTACAATACAGTAAAGTTATAACTATACTGCTATTTTTCTGGACCAACTAAACAACAAATCTGGCATTAAATTGAAAGTTATGGATTAATTAAAGTTAAATTGAAATATTCTTACCAATTAGCCTGGGAAACATAAGCTTAATGTTTTTAGACAAGAATGTAAACTTTATTATTATTCTTTGGCTTGAGAATAACACACAGACAGTTTAGTAGTTAATTCCATTTATTGATAGTTAATTACCATAACAAAAAATACAGCTTCAATAAACAAAATAGTTTCATAAATGAAAATATTTAATCATGACACAAGTTGAGATAGAATAGGTTACGAATTTACACATGTATACAAATATTTATATTTTAGTAAATTACTATTTCTTTCAAAAGTATCGTAAAGATACTCTATTGAAGAACTTTATTTCCAGCATCCCCAACCGTAGCGTCAGCGCGATGTGCTACAAGCGTCAGCAGTTCTATCTGCTCAGCATGATGTATTACTCCATCCATCATACCGACGGATGCTGAGGCTACTCTGCTGATGGATGGACGGACGAATTGAATCCAAGGGTCCGCGAGGGTAAGACGCCATCAATCCGACGTCTTGGGTGTCTTCATTTGTTTACCAACCCTTGTGTAACAGGTGGGATGCGGTAAATAAGGGCTCGTCGGATTATCGGGTTGTAGACCTGTGGAATACGTGGTGGTTTGGGGGAGAATGTTTCATTGCGGTCATTTTATGTTGGAGTTTATGTTGGCAGTTTCTGTCAATATATTTGAATTTTGAAATTTGGTAGCTTGTCTTTAATTGTAGTTTTGCATTTTCAATATTCATTGGAATGAATTATGTGTTACATTTTGTTCAATTATTTTTTTATTCCCAGAGACAGTAGAACTGTATTGTATTTTTAGGTTTGTTTTGACGAAAGTCGGTACTAGCCACAAACAAAGTTTAAAAAATAACGCATATATTAAAATGTAAAAGGGGTTGGTTTTTCCAAGGATTCTTGAAATTTCAATCCTTCAGAATAAAAATCATGGAAATCCGTCAAGACTAATATTACAGATAATTATATCTAATTAGTGTTGACTTTGATAACATATTTTTTGTGTTTTTCTAAAAATTGTTATATTACAATTTTTAGATTTTTTTTGTAGGTTGTAACAACCACAAACACAACTAAACAGATATTTTATTTATTTAAATGTAGAGCCATTTAATTAATCTTATACAGATTCTAAAGCCTTATAAGGCTTATTTAGATTTTATTCTTTTAAGGTGCTTGAGTAATATTAAAGACCAAAAATGCCTCAAGTTGGCACTTTAAACCTGTTTAATAACTATACCATAACTAGAAAATACTGGAAACATTAATCACACATAATAATGATATATCATTGTGAAAACTTTTGGATGAATTCAAACCATTGAATCCTTTATTGTAAATGTTCATTTTAATGTAACGAATGATGGGAACATTATTCCTTACATTCTCCTTATACTATATAATAAATAATGTAACGTTGTACAAAATACAACATGAGATTATTTCATGAACATTTGTCTATGTATGGTGTCGGAGGAATAAAATACACATTTAAAATATATAACTTTATTTGTGCAAAGCCATATAAACTGTTTAATCTTGGCTCGTCTAGCGGCTTGCGTCTCTCACACCCCACTTGGCTTCTCTAGGAACCTGCAACTAAAAAAAACTCGTGAGACTGCAGCAAATAAAGTAAAATAGATTGGCTTGTGTCACTCTTATGAATAATAAAAAAAACAAAACGAATTCACAGAAATATTAGTTCACAGATATAACTACAAAGGTAAATCTTGCTCTCTAATCATAGTCCTGCTAATTGGTTGTAAAGTTGCCTAACCCTTATTTATGGAAGCACGGGAAGTTTTTGTTAAAGACGATCGTTCTACAAGTGAAAACACCAAACTCTAATAACGTATTAAGTTTTTCTTTATATTTTGGTCGCAATTTCCCCATTATTTAGAATTACAATGGTTAGTTTTAGAACCTAAACCTCAACAATAATAAAGACAACTTGCTAGTTACCATGGGTTTTTAACACTATGGTTACACCATAAAAATAATATTGGTTCCCTCTTTAATCTTGAATCTTTAACTTATTAATTAATTTGTTTGTGTCTGTATGGCGCAGCTTATAATTTGACGGCGTGTCTACTGGGCAAAAATATAAAGACAAATTCTTCATTTCAGAAATAATTTTGTTTGGAGCTGTTCCCAATAAAAAAGACCATGGTGAGCATTAATTGTTGCCAAGGTACGTAGACCAATCAAAGGTTCTATATAATAGTTCTAGAATAAAAATAAACTGAGATGAGCCCGAGACAGACAATTACTAATTAATGTTTTTACACCCATTTCGTGACGAATCCAAACTTGAAGGTAAATCTCTTGATCAAGCATTTTGTTGTGTGTAAGCATGTATAGACTATGAAAACCAGAAAACCATAATAGTATCAACAGGTAGAGGAGAAAAGCGCATTTTTGGCTGAGTCTCATTCTGTGTGTTTGACTCGAACCACAAAATTAGCTACATCCATTTCATATAGACCTGTCATCTTAAAGCATAATATTTTGGATACAAGGCTAGACATCCTATTTGTCCTAATTTTTCATTGATATAAGAAACATGATGGAATGAGCTCTTGACAGTGCTCTACCATTCTATATCCTCTCTTGAATTCGAATCTTTGATTAATAACGTGACATAAACTATGCTATGGTTAACGCTAAGTTGTACTCATAGTTTGAATAAGAAATTGGTTCATTCGACAGATTAGTAACTGACATCGACATATTCTTTTCGGTGATTTAATTCAAATGGGTCAATTCAGTTTAAAATTTGTTACAAGTTTAAAACGAAAATTGAATAGCCACTACTCTCCAAAGTCAAAAACCACATAAACCAAAAATTCAGTACCTGATTCGCTCTAATGTGTGAACACTACTTAAACCATAAAACCGCCTCAGTTGACAGGTGTCTACAACATACCCCTACAACTACAAACACTATTGTTGACAGCGCCTATGAAACAGTTAATCTATTATCTATGCGGGAATGCCCATCTGCCCGGTCAAAACCCACCCGCATCAGCCCAAAATCAATTACTTGCAGGTGAGCGTCCCAAAACGTAACACCTTGGGGCAGCTGTGTCGCTTTTTGCACCGGATTATATGTTACAGTCGCGGTTTCGGGATTTCTATATTAGGCCTGGCAAAAACGGAACATGAATCACCTGTCTCGTGGTTAACTTAGCTTGTTTAACATGCAGCTGGGAAAAATTTACGAATTAGCATTTGAGTGGCCACTTTGTATGGTAACATGTATATTAGTGATTATCGAATATGTTCTTCGAATATCGTCTTGAGTTGAAAAAAAAGTTTGTAGTGGTGATTTCTTTTGAAGTAATGAATTTCTTCTTTTATATTTTCAGAAAGCTTTTAGTTTGATATAAATTTCACTGAAGAATGTTTAGTTCAAGTAAGGATTACTTCTTAGCTTAACATTTTATGAGTTTTATAAGTTTATGAGTTTACTCATTGTGGCACTAGAAACCTTTCAATGTTTTTGTTTAACTTTGACCTCATAATTTTAGACGCAAATAAGGTGCTCATTATATGCCTTGTTTGTAGCCAAACTTATATCGTTGAATTTTAAAATGTAATGTTTATATCCAATTTATACGGTTGGACACATTTTATGTTTGTAAGCAAATGTATATAGTCGTTTTTTAAAATGTCCTGTTGGTGGGCAAATGTAGTTGACCATTACATAAACGTATATTTCAATTAAAACTATTGCTAGTCTAATCATCTGTTAGAATGTCTGATTAAATCTAGTTTAAAATTGACTAGAGGTTTTTTCTGTGGTTAATATTATATTATTGGCATGGTAATTATTGTAAAGATGTCATATCTTGACGACCTTTAAGCATAAACAAATACACTGAATACCTCTAGTAAGAAGTAGAGAATCGTCACAAACATGTCCAATACCAAAAATACTTATTTATAGTTTAAGGTTGACTTAATATTTAAATAGATGTTTCCTGTCGATCTAACTGATATCAGTAACTGTATTTGTTACAATAAATATTCTATATATTTCTACGATTTCAATAAAACTAATTGAATACTTTCTTTATAAGTATTGAACGTGATGGTAATATTATATGGATGCAATATAAAATACACCTTCAACAACACAGATTCTTACAGTTCTAAACTTTTAAAAGAGGAAAAGAATACATGAAAGATGCTACAATAATGATGTGGTTTGACCATTAGGCCCAATCGGGAACCCAAATTTATATTTATATTATAATTATGAGTGTAAGATTTATATCTTACACTCATAAAAATTGTTTTAAATAATCATTTAAACTACACAAATATATTAACAGTATTTTGAACCGATCCCCAAACCGTTCCACGACACAAAAACAGTTACAGAGTTAACCGCGGAACCGGAACGTTTACTGAGGTAGTAATTAAAAATGGGACCAAGATTAGTGATAAGCAGTAATTAGAGGAACGGCTGATAGCTGATGATTATGTACAGCTGGGCTGATTGACCGTGGTATGACAGGACTGATAACTGATCGTTCCAGTCACAGTTCCGCCAGCGGCGCTTGTAACCGGTCCCGAGCACCTGCTACTGCTGCTCAGGTTACAGGCGGTACAATGTTGCAAGGAATATTAGGAGTAATAGGGATTGCATTTCAGTATTTATAGATATTCTACAGATGATAGACTGACGTTTAGTCCAGGGGTAAAATTGGTTTGCCTGTTTTGCCAAAACAGGACAATCAATTCCAGTACTAAGGGGTCCGGATGGGACTGGCTGTCCTGCGTTCGCCTATGGCTGATCGTCTACCACCGTCAGAATATTTTACAATCTCTAGCAAGTAGAACCTGGGACTGATCAAGCAATTCAAACAATGATTTTAAACAATTGCAATATAGTGATCACCTAAGTCCTATAAAGGCTACGGATCGGTTCATGATACCCAGTTTACGGGCAATACAATCTTGCTTCAAGAAAGATCAGAAGACTAAAACTTGTATGAATTTTATTATTTCAGACTATAGATTTGAGTTAAACAAGACATACTATTCCAATGTTGAGGTTGAAGCCGGTTTTAGTATTAAAATTGAAATAGAGGTAGGTCTGTAGCAGTTGAATTTAGCCATGAACAGAATGCACAGGGATAAATTACTAGTGTAGATTCCTCTCGAATATAAAGCTCAACCAACTTTTTAACCATGCTGCACCGAAAATATAGCTTATTGCAATTTGTATAGTATCGTTTGTGTCACATAAACTATCGCAGTTACAACTACTTACTCTAAGAGTGTTCTTTAAAATATTTTAACATTTAATATAAATTGTATTTTAAAGATTTGTCTAGCGAGAAACCTTTTTTCTCAATGAGGTACTCGTTACCTCATTAAAAAGGTGTTAAAGTCTTAAACTTTTGCGATTTCAAACAATCGTAGTATACTCAATAGATCTGTTTTTCCTGAAAGTAATCCTATCATTAAAATATTAAAAATAGCATTTTGTACAAAACAATTCAAGACAAGATCCAAACCAAATAAAGTTTCAGGCGGTTTAATGGGTACTTAATAATTATCAAAAATGAAATATTCAATATTTAAACCTATTTAAAATATCCCAGATTTTAAAAGCTACAAGATTAACCAACCCTTTGACTCAGTCTTGATTAATAGCTTGAGAGGAATCAAGCAACTTGTCAATGGGGAGTATAGCGTCTGATATAAACATCCAAGCCGAGGCAATTAAGGGAGAAATCCGCGCCAAAGCTACCCGACTCAAAACTCATGCATTTTCATCGACTTGCTAATTAGAATTAACAAGCTGCAGTACTCAAAGCGGCCGGGTCAAAGCAACCTAAGATTTCGAAGGGGAGTTTGAGGGCAAAGGGCTGCGAAACCTCAAACTGTACAAACACACCGACATCTACACCATGATTATTTCTGCAAGATTATTTCACCGTTTGGGCTGTTTTGGTTAAGGATGAAATGGGTTCTAATTTTGTATAAGTACAAATCCTGTGTATTTATGATATTATGATAAGATAACAATTGCTTGCATGTATCCATTCACTGTATGGTATTAGAAATCAACAGTTATCTTTTTTATACTTTGAGAAGAATTTAGGTGAATACTGGTATCTAAGGGATTTATGCACACGGTGGACATAAGGACTTTATAATATTGTTCAAAACTACTGTAACTTGTAAACGAAGGGCTATTCGTCTTTCACAAAAAAGAGTTATGTAGCTGAGTGGTTATAGTGTTGTCCTGCTGACATAACTAAAAAAAGTCGTCGGTCTGATTCCGAGAAATGTAAGTAGCTTTATGATGGTTGAAAACTAAATCCAGCTGTTCTTTATCATTGGGCTAAGAATCAGCTGATCGAAGTCAGTAACGTTTCCCAGATGATTTAAATACATTCTACAGCTGATATTGGTGACAAAAAGACGCATGTCATCACACTCTATTCTACACTCACTTCGTCCATCATCCACCTCCACAAAACGTCTGCAAAACGTTCTTCGCTGTCCCTCCAAAGTAGAGAGCTTTCATAATGTATTTCACAGCTATATATACCACTTATCAGTTTCTTGTTCATAATTAC